AAAAAATGATCCGGGTAATATAAATACGTAATATATACTTTAGTTAAACACATAATATAACTATATTGGCTTGATATTCCAAATTTATTTATGCATATGTTATTTAATGTCTTTTTATGTTATTTAATGTCTTTTACTGTTTAATTGAATTTTATTTTCCGTATATAAGAAATAGGTTGTCCAAGTGATATATACACAAAAAAAAAAAAACTTTAGTGAAACAAATATCTTACCTATATATGTTTATTGAAGTTTATTTGAATAAAAGCATTTGTTGCAACAAGGACATACACTGTTGAGGACTATAATCATCATACGAGGAAGATAAGAAAACTAGATTCACGAGTTCCACCTTACTTAGAGAAATTGAAATCCATAAGTAGGCATGGGTGTACTGTTCAACAAGTATAATATATGTCTAACTCAAGTACTATTTTGTGTATACATTTAATTGTACAACTTGTTTCTTATATACGAAAAATAAATTTCAAATAAATAACAAAAAGTATTAAACAACATATGCATAAGTAAATTTGAAATATCGAATCAATATATTTATGTTAGGCGCTTAACTAAGGTATTTATTGCATATATTCTTTATGCGAATCCTAAGTATGAAATGGGATGACATCCATCCCAATCCGGTCAACCAAACGGTGCCAAGTATTTTGAATTTTATAATTGTATTTAAATTTTATTTCATACTAATATATTTTATGTAGAGTAAAAGATAAATGTTCAGTTTTGGGTTGTAAATCTATCATTTCAAGGCCCTAAAGGGGTGATTGGATATAAGTTTTTTGGTTTTAATTGAATTTGTTAGCTAACCAGAGTTAATTTTTAAAAAGATTAATTGAGTTTGTATTAAAATAATATTAAAATATAATAACTAAAGTTAGACTTGATGTAAAAGTAGAAAAAATGTGATTGGAAGTGGTTAAAATTATGGGAATTGATGAATAATAAATTATAGTTGTTGTGATTTGTGGTTGATTGATTAGTATTATTTTGTCACACCAGCCTTACAAGTCTCGATATCCTATGGGTGAAGGAGGCCATTGTGGGCCGCCCCCATATGCCCAGTAATTACCCATCAGCAAAGCCCAATCCAGTACGCTGAATATAATATCCACAAGGCCCAACACATCTCGGAGAAAAACCTAACCCTAATTCCCAATTAACAAAACCTTCATTTGCATCCTAGTCTCCCACAACACAGCCTCTCCTCAGGTAAAGACAGACGCATTTAGCAGATCTCCGTCGAACATGGTGAGCGCCGCTTACACACTATTCACTCTCTCTCTCTCTCTCTCTCTCTCTCTCTCTCTCTCTCTCTCTCTCTCTCTCTCTCTCTCTCTTTCTGTGTGTGTCCATATTTATCCTTGATGTTGTAATTTTGTACATAACAAGGATAATTGTATGAAATTTGATTATCTTCAATTGCTTTTGGTCCGTAGCCGTTCAAGAGGTACGTGGAAATCGGGAGGGTGGCCCTCGTCAACTACGGAAAGGACTATGGAAAGCTTGTCGTCATCGTTGACGTCATCGACCAGAACAGGGTATGTTCTTCGCCGTTTTCTTTTTCTATTTTCTTCGAGTTGATGCCTTTTGCTTTGCTTTACATTTTTGCTATAGTTTACCTTTTTAACGAGCTGGTGTGCTTATTTCTGCTGGTTGATTGTCTTATTTAGCTCCATTTTTCAAGATTTGTGGACCCAGTTTATGTTTTATGCTCGGGATTACAGCTAGATTTTTTTCGTCGTTCTCTGATAGAAGCTATTTGTAGTGGAATTGATGTTTACAGTATTACAGACTTGTATGAATATTGAGGCCTGCAAATGAATTGAATTTTGAAATTAAATTATTAAGTGCATAGCTTATTGATTATAAATTAGCATTTCCAATATACTGTTGCCCCATTTACTATTTTTTTTGGAGTGATTTAAGGCATCTGTTGTGCCTGCTATAAGCTTCAAGGCCCTACTCGATTGGAGTTCTTGATATACCACACGGTTGAACTTTCTTTGATTATTTTAGTTGGCTTGCTTTGTTTGTCTTTGAAGTTTTTGTTCATTAATTCATTTGAGACACTGCAGGCTCTTGTAGATGCCCCCGACATGGTAAGAAGCCAGATGAACTTCAAGAGACTTTCTCTTACAGATATCAAGATTGATATCAAAAGGGTTCCAAAGAAGAAGACTCTTATAGCTGCCATGGAAGCTGCTGGTATGTATTTCATTTTGATTATAAAAATGTACTCTTTGTTTCCACTTCATTAATGGTGAAGATTGCTAAATTTCTTTATGATGGTTCGGCAGATGTCAAGGGCAAATGGGAAAAGAGCTCATGGGGTAGGAAGCTCATTGTTCAGAAGAGAAGGGCTGCACTCAATGACTTTGACCGGTTCAAGCTGATGCTCGCAAAAATTAAGGTCATAACTTTATACAATTTAGCTTTAAGTACAAAAAAACAAAATAATTAATTTATTTCTGATACTGTAAAGGTAATGCAATCCTTGCTGAACTATAACCCTCCCATGCCTCATGATTTATTTTGAGAGTTGTTGCCGTTAGATGAAAAGTTTGTTTTGTCTGTACAGTTTGTTCTGATGATTGTTATCTTTTGAGATTTTACAGAAGGCTGGTGTTGTCAGTCAGGAGCTTGCGAAGCTTAAGAAGACCGCAGCTTAAGTACACTTCTGCCGTGTTGTTTTTTCTTTTGAAAGTTGTATCGGTTTATTATCCAGTTTTGTGCTTTGAATTTTCTTGTTCTTGAGCTCATTATAAACATGAGAGTACTCTAATGTTACCTATTTATTGTTGGATAGCCTCGGGCACTTTAATGTTTGGAAATCTCAATTACTTGTCCATGTTTTGATTGCTATTTTTCTTATTCATGCTCGAACTTATTTCTGGGTGATAAATGTTCCTCGTTTGCAAAATAAAATAAAATAATAAACAAAATTAGGAAGAATTGTTATCATGTAAATTTATTTTAGTATGGATATATTTGATGAATTTATTGTGAATAATCAAATAGTATTACCTTATTAATAATAGTTGATTTATAAATTGCTAGATGCACGATTTTCTTAAGCCTAATTTATAATAAATAAATATTATCATTAGATCTCTATCGTTTTGAAAAAAAAATATTATCAATAATTTAACAAAATATATCATTTGCAAAATAAATAGTCAATTCAATATTATTCAAAGTTTCATATTTTGAGTTTTTCAAATGATTATATTTTCAACAAAGTTAGTCAATTTAATGTTCTCTTTATCAAAATGTTTTGAATAATAGATATGACCGACACACAAATTGGCTCCGAACTGAATTTAAACTGGTACAACCACGAATTACTTCTCGTTTTGAGTTTGGTGACCAGTACGATACACCGTAGAGGAGTCTTGATGGAAAAACCTCCGACTCTCAAGTCAGATTTGGTTCATGAATATTATAAAAGTTGTATGATAAGTCATGCGATAAGTTAAAATAGAATCTGAAAACTACCTTTTATAATGAGGTTATCTTCCTGCCAAAGCAGTCTCATTACTAGGAAAAACACTACTAGAAAAGAGAACCCACCATATCTTGTTTTCTAGTATGACACGTCTCTACAAGAGAGACTATCTTGCTGTCCAAGTAGCTTAACTATTAGGAAAGAAATCATTCCATATCTTGTTTCCTGTTATGAAACATCTCTGAAAGCTTAAATTTCGTAGCGAGATGTACTTTTCATTTTTGCTAGGATTATGTTTCTCTTCTTGCCATGACTCTTTAGGTCCTTAGGTCGTCATAGCGACCTCGTGATCCATCCGCCATATGCTCTTACCATGTCGAAAACACAATTTTTTGTAGTACAACATCCAAATTGTAATAACACCTCATTCGTCTGAGCTCCATGAGGATGATGAAGATCGTGTATCCGGACTCGATTTTGTGTAAGAACCCGCGCTAAGGGCTTTGGTTCAAACACAATAATAAGTGAAAAATCGACAATTGACCTCAATTTATCACGAAAAAGTACTCGAAAACGAATCTTTTTCTTATGTTTTATTACTTTAAACTCCATTCCTCCAATATGCATACAAATGTCCCATATATAATTCTACATACACAAACAACATTCAAATTTAAACATTCAAACCTACAACTAATCCTAACTACATATTTAAAATTTAAAATATAACTAATCTAACATAATTTACCCTATCTAATTTGCATGAAAATTCAACTTCTCCCGCCATCATCCATGCTGCCATTTTTCAACAAATTGCAATCCAATTCCACTCGAATTGGATTGCTGCCATTTTTCAGCAAATTGCAATCCAATTCCACTCGAATGTCCAATTCGCATTAGAGGAGCTCGACTCTTCATTTCTTTATTTAGGTCGACTCGTACACCAATGTACTACACCGAACTCCCTAACGAGATTAAGCCTTAACCGAGTCGAGGCTATCCTGAACCAGTTACTCTCGAGCTAATATCGATGCTCTATCAATGAGCAAACCTCTAATTCAAGAATTAGTGGGGAAAAGAGAAACTCTTTTACCAAACACAAATCCCAAGGTACTTACTTTTCATAAACCTTTGACGCAGTTCTGCCTACAAATACCGATACCACTCAATCTGCCGCGTATATTGTCCCCATTTCTATAAGCACACATTTTTATTTTTGATCAATTAAGATAAAACACTGTTGTTACCTCATCCCGACATCAAACGACGACCGCCTGAACTGAAAAAACATGAACATCTTCTCCAAAAAACCTACCGCCAAAGGTTTGATTATGTCCTCAATTTTATTCTTATTCTTTCTCCTGAATTTTAATGTATATTATGTAATTGTCGGCTCACAAATTTTCCTCGATATAATTTTTTTTTTTTTGGTCTATATTTGATTAGATCTTTTCTGTACAACTTGAATCCCTAATTGTTAAAAATTTGTATGACGTCATCATTTTTGGTTTTGGTTCATTTTCTTTGGTGCCCAATTTTTGCCCTGCTTCAATTTTCAGAGGCTTTAAGGGAAAGCAAGCGTGAAATGTCTAACGCGACTCGAGGTATTTTCCTTGCTACATCACATCAGCATATTGTTTAATGTTCTTGTTTTATTTGTATGATTTTTGTCCCTTAAGCTTCATTATCAGCTGGCTTTCTTTATAAATGGGACGAGTGACTAACTGAACATTGTTCATGAATGTGTTTATCGGAGTCTTAAGTCGTGTCAATTTGATCAGGACACTGAGGATAAAGTTAGTTAATGTTTTGATCTAGGCTCGTTAAGGATTTGGGATCGAGAATTGAATCGTGTTCATTGTGGGGATAAGTTTATTACAACTTCATCATTTGATTGGACTTTTAATGGTGAGAATTTGAGATCTTACAGCTGATTACCTCTTGGTAATTGATTTTCATTCAGGTGTAGAAAGGGAAATTTATACATTGCAATTAGAGGTATGTCGAGTTTCTCCACACGTTTCTTTATGTTTTCGATTCAATGCATT